ATTTTAACGTCTTTTGGTATGACGCGGTCGGGGATCGAACCCGCGACCTTCCGCTCTCCGGGCGGACGCTCTAAAAACAATATCTGAACTTAACTCCCATCTCACTAAGGCTCCTATTCAGTTTACAGGAATTATTTGTTATTTGTTTCTATCAAAATGATGTGTATTCTTATACAAAGCATCAGTCTACTGCCTTGTCTGTATAAACGTACATGCATATGTTTATCATATTCTATACCGACATTGTTGTTTGAATTTTAACACTATCCATCCTTTTATCCAGCCAGGGGCAAGATATGTGTGTTCCTTTGTTAACCTGGTATAAGCCGATGACGTCAATGATCCTAATGATGTCCATGACGTCAGTGTATTTGTCATGATGGAATATTGGTCAGACGAATTACGAAATGTTAATATGCATTTGTTATAACATGAGTGAGTGAGTGAGTGAGTTCAGTTTTACGCCGCTTTTAACAATATTCCAGCAATATCACGGCGGGGAACACCAGAAATGGGCTTCACACAACCTACCCATGTGGGGAATCAAACCTGGGTATTCGGCGTGACGAGCGAACGCTTCAACCACTAGGCTACACCACCGGACCCCCCCACCCCCACACCACACACACCCACCGACCCTTGAAGACCTATACAATCCAAACAAGTTCCACATAAGCTGCAGTGAAGGAGTGTGCTTTTCCGCTGACCTCATTCAAACATGATAGCACAATCCCCGTAAACTGGACCAAACTCATGTAGGTCAAGAAGTGAGGTCTAGGTCTTGTTTGCTGAGACTTTAGGGCTCCCTACCTCCCTTCACAGTCGCCCAGCCCCCTACACAGTCGCTCACCCCCTACACAGTCGCCCACCTCCCTACACAGTCGCCCACCTCCCTACACAGTCCCCACCTCCCTACACAGTCGCCCACGTCCCTACACAGTCGCCCACGTCCCACCTCCCTACACAGTCGCCCACCTCCCTACACAGTCGCCCACCTCCCTACACAGTCGCCCACCTCCCTACACAGTCGCCCACGTCCCACCTCCTCCCTACACAGTCCCCAGTCCCTACACAGTCGCCCACCTCCCTCACACAGTCACTCCACCCCTACACAGTCGCCCACCTCCCCACACAGTCGCCCACTCTCCCTACACAGTCGCCCACCTCCCTACACACAGTCGCCCACCTCCCCTACACAGTCGCCCACCTCCCTACACAGTCGCCCACCTCCCTACACAGTCGCCCACCTCCCACCCTACACAGTCGCCCACCTCCCCTACACAGTCGCCCACCTCCCTACACAGTCGCCCACCCCCTACACAGTCGCCCACCTCCCTACACAGTCGCCCACCACCTCCCACACAGTCGCCCACCTCCCTACACAGTCGCCCACCTCCTACACAGTCGCCCACCTCCCACACAGTCGCCCACCTCCCTACAGTCGCCCACCTCCCTACACAGTCGCCCACCTCCCTACACAGTCGCCCACCTCCCTACACAGTCGCCCACTCTCCCTACACAGTCGCCCACCTCCCTACACAGTCGCCTACCTCCCTACACAGTCACCCACCCCTACACAGTCCCCACCCTCTACACAGTCGCCCACCTCTCCACACAGTCGCCCACCTCTCTTCACAGTTGCCCACCTCCCTTCACAGTTGCTGCCACCTCCCCACACAGTCGCCCACCTCCCTACACAGTCGCCTACCTCCTCTACCACACAGTCGCCTACCTCCCTTCACAGTCGCCTACCTCCCCTACACAGTCGCCTACACCTCCCTACACAGTCGCTCTACCTCCCTACACAGTCGCCTACCTCCTCCCTACACAGTCGCTCACTCCTCCCTTCACAGTCGCTTCACCCCCCTTCACAGTCGCCCACCTCTCTACACAGTCGCCCACACCTCCCTTCACAGTCGCCCACCTCCCTACACACAGTCGCCCACCTCCCTACACAGTCGCCTACCTCCCTACACAGTCGCCTACCTCCCTACACAGTCGCCCACCTCCCTACACAGTCGCCCACCTCCCTACACAGTCGCCCACCTCCCTACACAGTCGCCCACCTCCCTACACAGTCGCCCACCTCCCTACACAGTCGCCCACCTCCCTACACAGTCGCCCACCTCCCTACACAGTCGCCTACCTCCCTACACAGTCGCCCACCTCCCTACACAGTCGCCCACGTCCCACCTGCCTACACAGTCGCCCAGCCCCCTACGCAGTCGCTCACCCCCTACACAGTCGCCCACCTCCCTACACACAGTCGCCCACGTCCTACCTCCCTACACAGTCGCCCACCTCCCTACACAGTCGCCCACCTCCCTACACTGTCGCCCACCTCCCTACACAGTCGCCCACGTCCTACCTCCCTACAAAGTCGCCCACCTCCCTACACAGTCGCCTACCTCCCTACACAGTCGCCCACCTCCCTACACAGTCGCCCACGTCCCACCTGCCTACACAGTCGCCCAGCCCCCTACGCAGTCGCTCACCCCCTACACAGTCGCCCACCTCCCTACACAGTCGCCCACGTCCCACCTCCCTACACAGTCGCCCACCTCCCTACACAGTCGCCCACCTCGTTTTATTTGGGAGTATACTTTAATTGTTAGCATTGTACGTATTCTTGTACTTTTGTTAGGTTGAGTCCCATCCAGGATTCGAACTTAAACTCTTGGAGTCAGGCGCCTAATCGTCCGCACACAAAGTCAGCCATCTAACCCACTCAGCCACCACACTTTCCACAAAGAAAAATGAATTTCGGAAAACAGGTAGTCACAGACTTTGTGCAGCCCTCTGACAAGCGTACCACTTTCTGAATGGCATTTAGCATTTACAGTCATGGATAATTATATCATAGCGTCAAAATCATGGAATAACGTACACCATCTTAATATGTGATAAAAGCTCTAACTGATGCGGGTGTCAGACGTTTACCATTCAGGCTAACCCACGAACAAGGTATGGGGCTGACAAAGCTACAAATATACCCGAACCAAGATTACAGATTCCTGGCATGCCCAAAGGAGGCAACTCTGTACAGCGAATTGACTCGACTTTTACAATGCGTGTTTCTGTGCAACATGGACATGGAAGAGATGAATACAACATAGAGTGAGGGTATGGTTTTACTCCGCTTTTAGCAATATTCCAGCAACAATACGGCGGGGGACACCATAAATGGGCTTCACACATTGTACCTATGCGGGGAATCAAATCAGGATCTTCGGCGTGACGAGCGAATGCTTTAACCACTAGGCTACCCCGCCGCCCAAAAAGTTTGGTTGAATAACCGCTTCCTCGTGTCAACTGCATATTTAATGGCCTCGACTTTAGAGAAATGTGTAAGTGAAGGACATGCACATACGAGACACTCAGTGAATACAAAGTGAGTGAGTGAATTTAGTTTCACGCCGCTCTTGGCAATATTCCAATAATATCACGGCCGTTACACACTCAATGGGCTTCACACTCAATGGGCTTCACACTCAATACAGGGGCGATGGGGTAGCCTAGTGGTTAGAGCGTTCGCTCGGCACGCCGAAGACCATGGGTACAATGTGTGAAGCTCATTTCTGGTGTCCCCCGCTGTGATATTCCTAGAATATTGCTAAAAGCGGCGTAAAACCACACTCACTCACTCACTCACTCAATGAATACAAAGGTTTGGTTGGACCACCCCTCCCTAATGCCAAGGGGCGCAAACCTGTACAGCAAACTACGATTTGAGGGCATCCCTGCGGCCGTACAGTACATGGAATCACCATATTACACAACATCCCTCACACCCCCGCCCCTGTCCATGACGAACAAACATAGGTACCCTTATACAACGGGGAGGTGGGGTAGCGTCGTTGTTAAAGCGTTCGCTCGTCACGCCGAAGACCACGGTTCGATCCCAAACATGGGTACAATGTGTGAAGCCCATTTCTGGTGTCCCTTGCCATGATATTGCTGGAATATTGCTAAAAGCGGCGTAAAACTAAACTCACTCCCTTATACAACAAGGCAAAACAAAGGTGAAGGTTCAAAATACGACCGGGTTAAATACTGAGGACTCTGACCTATCCCCTAACTATCATGTCAACACACCGTAAATCCTGGAGACGGTTCGCGAACTACCGTTATCAGAGTTTACTGTTGGTTTATGCCTCATTTCTACTCCTGTTATCACCAGCTACCTATTGTCACCTTAGATATCAACCTGGACCATTCACGGACACGGTTTCATGTTTATCGAGAAGTTCCGTGAGAGGTCACATAATTCTCATTTTTATTATTATAGGATATTTAAATAGCGCACATATCTACGCATCTAGTGCATGCTCAAGGCTCTGGTACTTTTTTCCTTCGATCATTGGGTGTCAATCTCAACGGCACATCGTATTATCAATCTCAACTCCCTGGGAAGTATACAACTCTTGCAGCCACTAGGCGCACCAGAGTTATTTCTCATCCTAACGAGGTACCCATTCACAGCCGGGTGGACTGGGACACATAGTCACAGTACTTTGTCCAAGTTTACTGCACGTTGCTGTACCCGCAACTAGGTGTTTGCACGTATTCATGTGGCCACCATCTGGTCATATACCAACAGATTCGTGGGTTCTTTTAAGTGCACAGGGTTGTGTACTGTACACTAGGGGTTGTGACAACACTGAAAGAGTCTGCACAAAAAAGTTGACTCCAAGGTTTTTACACCCGGTCACATGTGGGCTCGATCCCGACACCTCAACCTCGCTGAATCAGTAGCCTGGCGCCTTAGCCAGCTCGCCCACCGCGCCCCATCCGCCCACCGCGCCCCATCCGCCCACCGCGCTCATCGGGCTGAATACATGGGTGTCACTACACCACATAAACCAGTCTAAACAAAAGGTCCTGTAAAAAGTTGCATGTTATACATTTATGGCTTATTCGTGGGGAATGCTGTTTGTGAGGCAACTCTTCGTCGTTTAGGGGCTGTGGGTAGCCTAGCGGTTAAAGTGTTCAAGGCTTACCTTAGCAAAGCAGTTTTCCGAATATAGCACCGTTTAGCGAGTGTTGCTTGTGCATTAGCTTCTGGAGCACACAACGTATAAACTGCCAAGACAGGTGTCCTCAATCTTCATGATCATGTTCAGTTCTGTCCCACTGTCAACGGGACCCTACGAGAATATCATCTCTTAAGAATACCCATATCAAATAGCCGTTCCATATACCTCACAAAGGTAAACAAAATGCGACTCTGTGAGGAGCTTTGACGAGGACCCTATATCTCGCTTCGCCTTCAATGACAATGCTGAGTGTACATATGTATACACACAAGACGTGCCGTACAATAAACAGAATAACTCTATAGCTGAATATGTGTACAGTTTGTGTACACGCAAGCGGTAGCCGCTTCTCAACGAGTGAATTATGCACCGTAAAGAAAAAGCGACCAGAAGGATTTAACATTGTTTTCAAGGTTACTGTTACGCTGTTAAAGAGTGGGTGGGTTTGAGTGGGTGAGTGAGTGAGTGAGTGGGTGGGTTAAGTGAGTGAGTGAGTGCGTGGATGAGTGAGTGAGTGAGTGAGTGAGTGGGTGGGTTAAGTGAGTGAGTGAGTGAGTCAGTGCGTGGATGAGTGAGTGAGTGAGTGGGTGGGTTTGATTGGGTGGGTTTAGAGTGGGTGAGTGAGTGAATGAGTGGGTGGGTGGGTTAAGTGAGTGAGTGAGTGAGTGAGTGCGTGGATGAGTGAGTGAGTGAGTGAGTGCGTGGATGAGTGAGTTAGTGAGTGGGTGGATTAAGTGAGTGAGTGAGTGAGTGAGTGAGTGAGTGCGTGGATGAGTGAGTGAGTGGGTGGGTTAAGTGAGTGAGTGGGTGAGTTAGGTGAGTAAGTGAGTGAGTGAGTGAATGAGTTTGGTTTGACGTCGCTTTCAGGAATATTGCTGCAATATCACGGCCGGTGTCATTGTGTGGGGCTGTTGGTATATGACTTGTCATTATGTTTCGTGAAGTGGTTGACGTGAATGTGGATACCTTGTCCCTGACATACAGATCGTGGCACGGTGCCCTAGACTGAACCCACTGTTTACCTGGACGACTTCAACACTTGAGGCAGTGACTGTTTGCACAGTATCCGATGCTTACATCCACGGGAACAAACATTCGCAAGATAAACACCCCTTACCGTTCGGAACATGTATACTACAGGTAAGCTATACACTGGGCATGCTGTACGGTTGGGGGAGGAGAGGGGGGGCATTTGTAGGTAAGATGAGTGTGTGTGTGTTTTGTTTTACGCCGCGTTCAGCAATATTCCAGCAATATCACGGCGGGGGACACCAGAAATGGGCTTCAGACATTGTGCCCATGTGGAGAATCGAACCCGGATCTTCGGCGTGGCGAGCGAACGATTTAACCACGCGCAGATCGTGCAGCCACTGGCTGCTAAATTAAACCGAGTTACATTATGTCATCATATTTTGTTATGTCATGTTTTTTCAGACAAGCAAGAAATGACACACCTACAAGGCTGCAGTATTAGTTAATAGTACATGCTGTGAGTGGGCGAGTTGATTTTTACGCCTTGTTTAGCAATATTCCAGCAATATCACGGCGGGGGACACCAGATATGGGCTTCACACATTTTACCCATGTGAGGAATCGAACCCGGGTCTTCAGCGTGACGAGCAAACGCTTTACCCACTAGGCTACACTAGCGATATTGCACAACCATGCCTCTTTGGTGAATACCATGCGCACGGTATGGTCAAAACAAACTCGGAAACATAATCAATACGAATCTAGGATTCGAACACACGATCCAATGCTTTTGTCACAGTTAGGTACAGAAACTCCGTCCACTAAGTTGCGGCGCCGTAGACAACCAGGCCACCCAGGCTAACAATATAAGGAGAGGTGAAATTGGGTTTAACGTCGTGCTTAAGAATATTTCGCTCACATGACGACGTGCATGCGTGTGTATGGGTGGCTGCTTGTACTAGCCCACACTTAAGCTGGTTTTATAGTGCTAGCCCACTAAGATACCATGCCGCAGTGAAGCATGAATACCTCACTCAGACATGTTATACTGACTCCGAGGCGACCAGTCTTGTTGCCGAGAGACAGGCAGGGACCAACAAATACCGTATTTTAAAATATTTTGGTATGACGCGGCTAGAGATCGAACCCGCGACCTTCCGCTCTCCGGGCGGTTCCAACCAATATAAATATAAAGGTCCTAAAGCATTATTTGCACTCACGTCGGTCACAACAGATAGTGCAACAACCCTGTTTTATAGACCTCCATGAGCTTCTCAATCAGATATTGTAGTATACTGATGAGCCTCTACCCAAATGGCCACCCTTATCTGCACAGAAGTTCGGAACTATTCGTGGTTGTTCCAGCCCCAGTACGCGCCTGCACAGCTCACATCATTCACATGAAGCGAACTAGTTTACCCTATCGCTACAACCTGAATATGCGCAAAGTACAGTAAATTGACACTACTGAACTCATCGAACTCTTCATGCACAGTGCAGACAATCTCCATGACTCGACAGTTTGTTGCATCGGTTCAACGCTAGTACTGACATATATCGGTACTGTGAATCATTATACCTGCAGATCATATCCGACAAACAATATCATTATGTATTGTTTTTTTGCTGAATTGTTACAGTTCCCGTTTGTAGTCACTGCTGTTTTTCAGTCAACACGAGTCTGTCTGCTATTTATCGGAATCATTACAACACGAGTCTGTCAATGTTTCCACAGTCACTGCTATTTATCGGAATCATTACAACACGAGTCTGTCAATGTTTCCACAGTCACTGCTATTTATCGGAATCATCTATTACAACACGAGTCTGTCAATGTTTCCACAGTCACTGCTATTTATCGGAATCATTACAACACGAGTCTGTCAATGTTTGTCAATCATTACAACACGAGTCTGTCAATTACAGTCATTACAACACGAGTCTGTCAATGTTTCCACAGTCACTGCTATTTATCGGAATCATTACAACACGAGTCTGTCAATGTTTCCACAGTCACTGCTATTTATCGGAATCCATTACAACACGAGTCTGTCAATGTTTCCACAGTCATTACAACACGAGTCTGTCAATGTTTCCACAGTCACTGCTATTTATCGGAATCATTACAACACGAGTCTGTCAATGTTTCCACAGTCACTGCTATTTATCGGAATCATTACAACACGAGTCTGTCAATGTTTAGTCGGTCACTGATACATGTCAGAAACGTTACAATCCTACTTTGTATGAGAATACCAGTGCATCTATTCGTGTACGTATAAAAATGTAACTACAAGTTGCTAAAACATGTACTCAACAACTCTGATGACGAGTGTCTATAGCTTGTGTAAATATTGCATGTATTTATGTAACTTCTAGACCATGCATTTGTTTGAGAAATTTCCGTCCATCCATCCATACACCCACCCATCAGTCCATCCGTCCATCTATCCATCCACCCATCAGTCCGTCCGTCCATCTATCCATCCATCCACCCATCCATCCATCCATCCGTCCATCCATCCATCCATCCATCCACCCATTCATCAGTCCGTCCATCCATCCATCCATCCATCCCCACCCATCAGTCCGTCCGTCCATCCATCCACCCACCCATCAGTCAATCCATCCATACACCCACACATCAGTCCATCCATCCACCCATACGCTCAAACACCCATCCATCCATCCACCCACCAGTTCGTCCGTATATCCATCCATACGCATCACACCCATCCATCCACCCACCCATCAGTCCATCAATCCATCTACCCATCAAACATCCATCCATCAGTATCCTTCCATCCATCCATCCATCCACCATCCATTATCAGTACCGTCCGTCCATCCACCCACCCACCCATTACAGTACACACCATCCATCCATCCATCCACCCACCCATCAGTCCGTCCGTCCATCCACCATCAGTGCATCCATCCACCCACCCACCCATCAGTCCGTCCATCCATCCACCCACCCATCAGTCCGTCCGTCCATCCATCCACCCATCAGTCCCATCCATCCATCCATCTATACAGTCCGTCCATCCATCCATACACTCACCCATCAGTCCGTCCGTCCATCCATCCACCCAACCATCAGTCCGTATCCATCCATCCATCCATCCACCCATCAGTCCGTCGATCCATCCGTCTATCTATCCATCCATCCTTCCATCCACCATTCGTCCACCCATCCATCCACCCGTCCACCCACCATCAGCCCATCCATCCATCCATCCACACATCAGTCCATCCATTCGTGTACAGAGAGTTGGTCCTTTCATTCACTCCAGAACGATATTTCACTCCGTCGGTCCATAGACCCACCATTAATCCATCCAGTAAAAATAATGACACACTGAAGTTGGGTGTGTTAACGTATATGTATATACTTATACGTAAATATGTCATAAAAATAACATTTTCTCCTCGGATTCTGGATATTACTCCATTGTACTCAGGATATTACTTGACAGCGTAGCTAAAACATCGATTGATATGTTGTTTAACAAAGTAGAGTTGCATATAATAATGATAATAATATAATAGCCATTTATATAGCGCCTTTCGACGTCACAGGGATATGCTCAAAGCGCTTCCTGAACTTCCATATGCGATGTCATCGTTGCTCATTGACACGGCCATGCCATATCAATGGGTTAGTGAGTATGGTTTTACTCCGCTTTTAGAAATATTCCAGCAACATCACGGCGGGGACACCAGAAATGGGCTTCACGCATACCGATCTATGTGTGAGAATCGTGAGGACAAACGTTTTAACACTCGGTTACGCCGCGCCCAAGCAATATTCCAGTGAAGTTTAGTTCACTCCGCTTTAAGCAATATTCCACAAATCACGGCTTCAGAAACATTGTACCCGTGTGGGGAATCGAACCCAGGTCTCTTGGCGGACGAGCAAACGTTTTAATCACTCGGATACCCCACCGCCCAACCGTTCAGTGAAAGCACATACACATCTGTATGACATAACGGACATCCCACCAAAGACATGATCACCAAATTGCGGCAGGCTAATGTCCACCGACTGCGTTAATGACACGATGGTTTAGTATGGCATTCCTCCACCTTCTGTACAGTTCAGAAGAAGAGAAGAAGAAGGAAGGAGAAGAAGGAGAAGAAGGAGAAGAAGGAGGAGGCGAAGAAGAAGGAGAAGAAGAAGGAGGAGAGGAGGAAGGAGAAGAAGAAGAAGAGAAGGAGAAGAAGAAGAAGAAGAAGAAGAAGAAGGGAAGAAAGGAGAAGAAGGAGAAGAGGAAGAAGAGGCAGAAGAAGAAGAAAGAAGAAGGAGAAGAAGAAGAAGAAGAAGAAGGGAGAAGAAGAAGGGAAGAAGAAGAAGGAGGAGGCGAAGAAGAAGAAGAAGAAGGAAGAAGAAGAAGAAGAAGAAGAAGGAGAAGAAGAGGAAGAAGAAGAAGAGGAGAAGAAGAAGGAGAAGAAGAAGAAGAAGGAGAAGAAGGAGAAGAAGAAGAAGAGGAGAAGAAGGAGAAGGAGAAGAAGAAGAGGAGAAGAAGAAGAAGAAGAAGGAGAAGAAGAGAAGAAGAAGAAGAAGAAGAAGAAGAAGGAGAAGAAGAAAATTTAGGTGGTGGTTTTGAAGACGCCGTGTTACATATTTTCCAAATATACATATACATTTCGTCGGCCAGTTGAAGAAAATATCCGGCCTTTCAGGCCTACGAAATTCGTATGAATTTCGGTCGATTGAAAAATATCCGGCCTTCTTTGCGGCTTACGTGAAAAGCCACCATACAAACAATGCATTAAAATACACACAAGTCGATAAACACAAATAAACACCGAGTCGATTAGTGAGGGAATTCTATTTAACGCCTCATTGAACTGTTCTAACTTGGTTTTAAGCAAGGTTTGAATGACTTAAAAGTGCTAGCCAGGTTTAATCCTATCCCGTTTTGTTTATTTGTTTGTTCGTTTGTTTGTTTCCAACGTCGAACGAAGCAAACTATCTGATGAGAGTTCATTTAACTTTACACATCAGCATGAACCACATCGAAATACCATAGGATTTAACAGTACAGTATTATCTGATGAAATATCCTGGAATGCCACGTCAAGGACCATGTGTGGTAACAGTTATTTCAGATAAATACATATGTTTATGATATATATGATTTAACAGTACAGTATCGTCTTATGAAACATCCTGGAATGCCACGTCAAGGACCATGTGTGGTAACAGTTATTTCAGATAAATACATATGTTTATGATATATAGGATTTAACAGAACAGTATCGTCTTATGAAATATCCTGGAATGCCACGTCAAGGACCATGTGTGGTAACAGTTATTTTAGATAAATACATATGTTTATGATATATATATATGATTTAACAGTACAGTATCGTCTTATGAAATATCCTGGAATGCCAAGTCAAGGACCATGTGTGGTAACAGTTATTTTAGATAAATACATATGTTTATGATATATATAAGACAGTACAGAATTGTCTTATGAAACATCCTGGAAAAATCAAATTAGGGATCACGGGTGGTGGTAGATATTTCAGATAACTACATATGTTTATGTTTATCAGATGCTTAGATAAGATAAGAAGAAATTATATTTACGTGTCACGCGGTATACACACAAATATATAATCACAATGACTAGACAATTTAAAATATACACCACCTGCCAGTTGGTTTATGAGACACGAGGTATCTGAGGGTGAGGTAGGTTTTGCGCCGCTTTTAGCAATATTCCAGCAATATCACGGCGGGGGACACCAGAAATGGGCTACACATTTTACCCATGTGGGGAATCGAACCCTGGTCTTCGGCGTGAAGAGCGAACGCTTTAACCTCTAGGCTACCCCACCGCCCCAGGTAACTGAGAGGTGTTCGGAAAAAAGTCCTCGGAAAAAAGTACCGGTAAAAAAGTACTGAATTTGCCTAGGAAAAAAGTCCTCCGGAAAAAAGTCCTACTTTTATTTTTTTATAACAAATGATTAGAATTTTTTAGATATTCGGGTTTTTAATACTTTATTCACATGCAACAATGTAATTTGACAAAAATACATTTGCAGGACGTTTTAATTTTTTTACTTTATTCACATAGGCACTTTCACATACAACAATGTAAATTGAAAAATGACTTCCATGATGAAATTGTTGTGAACACTAAGTATTCTTTGATTCAAGCAGCTAAAATCCAACATTTTGACAAACAGAACTCAAGCTAAATCCTGGATTTGAATGCCCAGTTAAAATATCATTGTTCTTGGTTATTTAATTCTTGTCTTTAATACACAATCACTTTTCTCAACAATAACTTTGATGTCAACATCCATTTAATCTGTTATCACAATAACAGGACTCTTTTTTCTGGAGGACTTTTTTTCCCGGTACTTTTTTTCCAAGTCTTTTTTCCCTATAATTATCTGAGAAATCGTAACAGTAGAATAAAAGTACAGGGGCGCCAATCAGTGCATATATAAACAACAACAGTGTGTACGAAGCTATAAATTCTATGTATGAATAGATAAATTAGATACCTTAAGGCTGAATTCTGTGTACTGTACAGGTTGTTTACTATGTGGGAAATGTATATTCAGATAACTACATATGTTTATGTTTATCGGGTAGATTTGTATATAATCAGTGCAGTGATAAACCTACGCTTGCGATTATTTCAACAGATATGCAGTTTCCAACTGGCAGAACAATTGAACAGCAAAACGGAAACCGGCGACAGCTGACCCAGTCAATAGGAGTACGTTATAACGAAACAGTTCCGGTATACAGCGATGTGTGTCACAAAGCAAATGACATGAGACCCCAACAGCCGGATATATGTCAAACACGCGTCCTTCCCATATAGCCTTGTCTACTCCTGTTATGCAACAAAACATGTGGTCACGGGCGAACCGTCGCGGTTTGTATGATGAAAAAGAACACGATATGTTTATCCAACAAGACAAGGGGTAAACAATCAAGTTCAGTATGACAAATACGTATCACATTACGATATTAACGTCGAATCGCTTACCTTTGCATCGTGCAAGTGGAGGGTTTCACTAAATTCGTTCCAAGTATGTCCGAGTTATAATGAAATAAAACGAACTCGGCATTATTGAAAATGTAACAGCTGGCTTGAACGAGCGTATGTGTGACTATAGTCTGTTTCAGTCTCTGAGGGTTATGTGTTTGTGTGTGTAGTGTTGTTTGTTGTTTGCCGATGCATCATTTCCGCTAATTGACGGTCTTTGTCTTCAGTAAACCATGCTTGGACTTTGAATGGCATTTAGAAGTGATACACATAAGGAAGAGAATTTTATGAATGTCAAATGCTCTATAACAACGTTTCGGAGTATATCCTTACTCCTTCATCAGGTGAATGGATAGTATGAGACAGATAGCATATATATGTACATGTAAGAATAACAAAAGTAATAAGACGACAAAGATGCAGGCAAAACAATGGAACAAATGGAAGCCAGTCGTAAGAGCCCACTTACTGGTTGTGCATGTCAAATGCGTGTATCTATGTTCATGATGTTAATCACTTGGTGGTCATGTCTGGACTCGATTATTTATAGAGAGTCGTCATAAAGCTTGGGCGGGCGTTACAAACAAACAAACAAACATCGGGAAACTGGGCAAAATCCTCCTATCATGGACCTTTGCACTATCTATGCATAAACAGGGGCGGTGGGGTAGCCTAGTGGTTCAAGCGTTCGCTAGTCACGCCGAAGACCCGGGTTCGATTCCCCACATGGGTACAATGTGTGAAGTGAGTGAGTGAGTTTAGTTTTACGCCGCTTTTAGCAATATACCAGCAATATCAAGGCAGGGGACACCAGAAATGCGCTTCACGCATTGTACCAATGTGGGGACTCGAAACCGGGTCTTCGGCGTGGCGAGCGAACGCTTTAACCACTAGGCTACCTCACCGCCCTCCCCGCGTGTCAGATATGCGGTAATCCGTCAGGTTCATAATTTGAAATAAACTTTAACAAAATAGCTCATTTTACAAACATTACGTGTCCAGCTGAGATATCGTGCTTCCAGTTGCCATTCTTTGCGTAGATTTTTAATCTGGTAATCGTGACAATATATCTTTTAAGCACGTATGCTGTTGCGATAACATAAATGTCCAACTGTTATCTTACCGCACTACAAAACTGCTCTCCATTTGTATTCGCCGTTTTTTGTATTCGCCGTCTTTAGTGAGAGAGAGAGAGAGAGTGTGAGAGTGAGAGAGAGAGAGAGAGAGAGAGAGAGAGAGAGAGAGAGAGAGAGAGAGGAGGGAGGAGGGAGGAGAGAGGGAGAGAGAGAGAGAGAGAGAGAGAGAGAGAGAGAGAGAGAGAGAGAGAGACTGAGACTGAGACTGAGACTTGTGTGGGATGTTTTGCCGCTTGGTATGTACAAAATGTGAAGCCGGTGTCTCCGCCATGATATTACCGGAATATCACTCACTCACTCTGTAATGAATTAATCCCCTCTTGTGTGGATTTCGCGGGTCATCTCTATACATGACGTTTACAAGATACATTATGCTGCGCAGTAGGCGTGACAAAAACAATGGACCAATGGGGTGGAATCCCGGTTTAGACCTGAGTTCATTCATTGGATTTTAAGCACCATACGAAGTTGGTAATCGTATAACACCAGTAGTTGCTTCAAACAAATATTTGAATACTGTTCGAAGCGAAGGGGTGAGTGAGTGAGTTTTGTTTTACGCCACACTCAGCAATATTCTAGCTATATGGCGGCGGTCTGTAAATAATCGGGTATGGACCAGACAATCCAGTGATCAACAGCATGAGCCTCGATCTACGCAATTGGGATACGATGACATGTGTCAACCAAGTCAGCGAGCCTGACCACCCGATCCCGTTAGTCGCCTCTTACGACAAGCATGGGCTACTGAAGATCAATTCTCACCGGGATCTTCACGTGTCTCGACGCGGAGGAACACAACACACCACGTACTCACTCACTCACTCACTGACACACACACACCTTGTAATTACTGTATGTTTAGCTGATCACAATATAGTCTTCTTAAATACTGGGATGATAAAATATTGGATATTCTTACTGAAAAAACAAAACAAGCCGTTTTGACGATAAAGAATATTATACTCATGCCAATAATGGTTGTCACCCTTCAAGTGTAGGGTGTGTGGGGTTGGTGTGGGGGTTGTTTTGACAAATACTATTTACAGTATAATGGCGTACAATGGCAACACTGCATAGCGAGCATTTTCAAGAAATATTCATTTAGCTTATAATAAACATCGAGTTTTGACCACTTGGTTACAGTCCGAATGAGGATAAGCTGGGCGTTGTTATATTTCGCAATGTGTTGATTGTATGTGGATATTTAGAATATACAGGGGTATTTCCTGAATTCGAGAGCACATATAACCGTTCGCAGTTGCGCTGTGAATAAATTGGAATACTATCCATGCTGCTGAAAGCGACAATCAACCCACTTGCTATTTTACTCACTCGCATTTAGGGGGCGGTGTGGTAGCCTAATGGTTAAAGCGTCCGCTCGTCACGCTGAAGACCCCGGTTCGATTCCTAACATGGATACAATGTGTGAAGCCCATTTCTGGTGTCCCCACCGTGATATTGCTGGAATATTGCTAGAACCGGCGTAAAACCATACTCACTCACTCTCATTTAGAGAAAGAAAATTGCGTCTGATCACTTTCGACATTTTGGGCAGAAGGGTAGCCTGGTGGTTAAAGCTTTCAATCTTCACACCGAAGACCCGGGTTCGAATCCCCACATGGGTACAATGTGTGAAGCCCATTTCTGGTGTCCCCCGCCGTGATGTTGCTGGAATATTGCCAAAGGCGGCGTAAAATCTTAGTCACTTACTCCATTTGACGTAAAGAATATCAACATGATCTAAGGAAGGGCAATAAAATATCTAGAAATATATTTGAGTTAGAACAGAGTTACGTCCCTTCGTTAACGGGACTTCAGTTGTTTGTTTTGCTTGTTGTTTTACGTCGCACTCAGCAATATTCCAGCTATATGGCGGCGGTCTGTAAATAATCGAGTCTGACCAGACAATCCAGTGATCAACAGCATGAGCATTGATCTACGCAATTCACGGGGACAGCTATTGAAACAAATCCAATTATCCAAGTGGTCAAACAATGATAAGTAATCGCAATTGCATATGCAATGGTGTGTGTGTGTGTGTGTTTTCGTGCGTGCGTGCGTGCGTGCTTGCATGCGTCATTGTGTGGAGGAGTTCATGCGATGCGGTTCTAAAGCTAACTTCGCCCAGCGCGCATCAAACACCTATACAATGAACATCCCCTTAAGGACTGTCATACCGCACACGTGTAAACGACGATAATGATCGTAGGGAGGTAGGGTAGCCCAGTGGTTAAAACATTCAATCGTTATTCCAAAGAGTCGGGTTCGATTCCGACATGTGTACATGTGTGAAGCCCATTTCTGGTGTCCCACGCCGTGATATTGCTGGAATATTGCTAAAATCGGCGGAAAACAACATGCTCAATGCTAATGCACGTAGAAACAAAAGTTACCAGTGGTAATGATGATGAAATAGAATACATGTGCAAAAGTTTTGATGTTGTTTAACGCCACACTCAGCAATATTCCAGCTATATGGAGGCGGTCTGTAAATAATCGAGTCTGAACCAGACAATCCAGTGACCAACAGCACGAGCATCGATCTACGCAGATACGATGGCATGTGTCAACCAATTCAGCGAGCCTCACCACCCGATGCCGCAAGACACCTCTTACCCCAAACATGGGTTACTTAATACCAGATCTAACCCGTATCTTCACGGGTCACAAAGGTAAGACTTGAGAACTTGGTCGTACATCATTTTTAATCACAAAGATTTTATTTATTGCGATAAATATCTTCAGTAACAAATAACCGGGTAATAGTACCCGTATAATATTTGGATATAAAACTAAATAATCAGTCATAGATTACAATAATACCTTACGGAAGAAACACAAGAACGATGACAAGCTCATCCACCCCCACTCCCCGTCCCCCAAATCCCCTTCAGACACACCCCACCCCCTGGTAGACACACCCCATCCCGTGTGTTAGGTCCGATTAAAATGGCTATCGGATGGTCAAGCACCGTGACACTGCATGGTATGGATATACTGTTTTCAGGCCGTCGTGGTAAAGTTTGAATATTGCCAACTATTGAACAACATTCACGCACTTACTTACAAACCACCATGCGTTGGTATATGTAATGATATTTCTGTGATACCCAGCTTTCATAGCCATACGTTATTGTCACTTCAACATTATGTATGGTTACCCGTAAAGATCCGGGTTAGAATTGGGATACGATGACCCTGTCCACCGATTCCGTTAGTCACCTCTTACGACAAGCATGGATTGCTGAAGATCAATTCTAACCCGGATATTCACGGATCTGGAGATACAGAGGATGTGTATACGTCCACATATTGTTTTTCCAGTGTACCACTGGGCAATATGGACTATCAATTCTTAAATACCGTCAGAAATATCTGAAGCAACATTGATCAACAAATTCCTTCGACCCGTGAAGGTCCCGGTTAGAATGAACCTTCAGCAACCCATGCTTGTCGTAAGAGGCGACTAACGACGTCGGGTGTTCAGGCTGACTTGGTTGACACATGCCATCGTATCCCAACCAATTGCATCGATGCTCATTCGAGGCAACTAACGGGATGGGGTGGTCAGGCTCGCTGATTTGACAGATGCATATATCCCAATGGATGGATGTTCATGATATCGATCACCGGATTGTCTTGATGATCACCAGACTTGATTATTTACAGACCGATGTCATATAGCCTGAATATTGACGCGTTGAACAACGACAAACAGTAGCATGCTTATCAGCGCTGTGGTTTAATATCGCTGTATCGCTTGTCTCGAAGTGTCAGTAGCTCGATACATTTGATGTTAATTGTGATAAGCTACTTGCGATGTAATGCACTCATCACTGTAATCCCTTTTCATACTGCACCTACAGTCGCTGGCGTGAACATGTAGTAAACAATTTAAAAAATAGATAGAAATCCACTCATAAATGTCGAATAACGTCAACTAATGGCAAAACAGTAAGAATGATCTCAGAAGAGTGAGTGAGTTTTATAGA